GAGACTGTGAAAAGCTTTGGGCTAATCACTGGTGTTTGACAGGGAGCGAGATGCATCCCCACGCAGTGCCTGGGAGCACATCTGGGCTCTCAGATCCCCTCACGTGGGATATCTCCTGGATGGAACCAGAAGAGTTACGGGGGGGGTGTCCCATCCTTGCAGCAAAACTTAGGGGCCCTTGTCCCTCCCATTATCCCTCCTGCAAGGCCGGTAGACCAGGGACATGTGTGGCCACAGTGGGGACTCCCCTCGGGGAGCCAGCCAAGGCTCCAGGAGCAGGCGAGGGGCTTGGTGGGGTCCACAGTCACAGGACCGTGACGTTGTGGCGTACCCAACAGAAGCTGTCTGTGCCTCACAGCCAGGCATGGGACAGTGTGCCGTTCTCCGTGCTGCACCCTTAGCGGAGGTGTGGGCTCTGGGCTGAGTCCCTGGGGCCCTGGCCAGTTCTGGCACCCTTTTCCCTGGTCCCACCGAATGTGTGTGAGCAGCACGGTCCCAGGCGTGCCCTGCAGCTGCCTGCCGCGGCTACATGCTTCCTGCCGAATGTGTGTGAGCAGCACAGTCCCAGGCGTGCCCTGCAGCTGCCACGTGCCGCTCGGTCACCAGGCTGCACGTGGTTGCACGTGCTGCTTGCTGCCTAATGCTACACAGCGTGCAGCTCACGTGGCCTGAGTGACATGCTCTCCCCCTCCTCCCTCGGGGCACCTGGCTCCCCCCTCCCCTCCGCCACCCGCCCTTTGGGAGTGCAAACTGCAAAGCCTCACCAGTGGCCCAGTGTAGACACACCCTAAATGTATTAGAAGAAAGAGGAAGACCAAGGACAGGGTAGACCCACTGATCAGTGAGGAGGGAGAAACAATAACAGAAAACTTGGAAATGGCAGACGTGCTTAATAACTTCTTTGTTTCGGTCTTCACCAAGAAGTCTGTGTATGAAGGAATGCCTAACATAGCGAATGCTAGTGGGAAGGGGGTAGGTTTAGAAGATAAAATAAAAAAAGAACAAGTTAAAAATGACTTAGAAAAGTTAGGTGTCTGCAAGTCACCAGGGACTGATGAAATGCATCCTAGAATACTCAAGGAGCTGATAGAAAAGGTATCTGAGCCTTTAGCTATCATCTTTGAAAAGTCATGGAAGACAGGCGAGATTCCAGAACACTAGAAAAGGGAAAACATAGTGCCCATCTATAAAAAGGGAAATAAGAACAACCCAGGAACCTACAGACCAGTCAGTTTAACTTCTGTGCCAGGAAAGATAATGAAGCAAGTAATTAAGGAATTCATCTGCAAACATCTGTAAGATAATAAGGTGATAGGTAACAGCCAGCATGGATTTGTAAAGAACAAATATTGTCAAACCAATCTGATAGCTTTTTTTAATAAGATAACAAGTCTTGTGGATAAGGGAGAAGCGGTAGACGTGGCACACCTAGACTTTAGTAAAGCATTGGTTACAGTCTTGCATGATGTTCTCATCAATAAGCTAGGCAAATACAACTTAGATGGGGCTGCTATAAGGTGGGTACATAACTGGCTGGATAAGTATTCTCAGAGAGTAGTTATTAATGGTTCACAGTCATGCTGAAAGCGCATAAGTAGTGGGGTTCCGCAGGGGTCTGTTTTGGGACCAGTTCTGTTCAATATCTTCATCAATGATTTAGCTATTGGCATAGAGAGTACACTTATGAAGTTTTCAGATGATACCAAGGTGAGAGGGCTTGCAACTGCTTTGGAGGATAGGGTCATAATTCAAAATGATCTGGATAAACTGGAGAAATTTTCTGAGTTAAATAGGATGAAGTTTAATAAGGAGAAATGCGAAGTACTCCACTTAAGAAGGAACAATCCATTTCACACATACAGAATGGGAAGCGACTGTCTAGGAAGGAGTACTGCAGAAAGGAATCTAGAGGTCATAGTGGACCATAAGCTAAATATGAGTCAACAGTGTGACGCTGTTGCAAAAAAAAAGCAAACATGATTCTGGGATGCATTAACAGGAGTGTTGTGAGCAAGAAACGAGAAGTCATTCTTCCAATCTACTCTGCGCTGATTAGGCCTCATTTGGAGTATTGTGTCCAGTTCTGGGCACCACATTTCAAGAAAGATGTGAAGAAATTGGAAAAGATCCAGCAAAGAATGATTGAAGGTCTAGAAAACATGAGGTATGAGGGAAGACTGAAAGAATTGGGCTTGTTTAGTTTAGAAAAGAGAAGAATGATGGGGGACATGATAGTGGTTTTAAAGTACCTAAAAGAGTGTTGCAAGGGGGAGGGAAAAATTGTTCTCCTTGGCCTCTGGGGAAAATTCCTTCTCGACTCCAAATATGGCAATCAGCAACCTTATGTGAAGGGCACATTCACACATCAGTTTCAGTGAGGTTTTAATTCAACCCATACTAAGATTTAACCCAGTTCATAACAATATGCTCCATGGCTAACAATGGTTCATTTAATTATTTAATACCTCTAATTATGGATTTAATACGCAGATATGCTGGACTACCTCACAGCATTATCCAAACTCATCTCTAAAAGTATCATATTTGCACATTTCAATATGGAGACTTTTTTGTTGGGAGTGTTTTATATCATTTTACTTATTTGTGAGCCTCCTCTGCTTGGGACTAGAATTTCCTGTTTGCTAAGATTGAGGGATTCTCCATCTGAATGTTTGGAAGAGTACTCTGTATATCCCTTGAGACTATTCCTAGCTGAAATAAGATCAGCCAGGACAGTATGTTTCCTAAAGATAAGGGATACTATGCCTAGATCCCTAATTCCTAACTAAGGGCTAGATTCTGACAGCTATGCAAGAGAGTGTGAGCACATAGAACTTCTCCCTACCTTTTGCATCCTTGCACAGGGGCTGGTTAGAATCCTGTTAGAAAGACAAATGCCTGTTCAAGATTAGTGCCATTGTGAGGCCTGATCTACAGTACAAGGAAAGATTGAAGTAAGATAAACAACTCCAGTATGTAAATTACATAGCTGGAGTCTATGTATCTTAAATCCCCATCCACCCAGCAGGAGGCCAAGAGGAGCAAACACTCCCGTTGGCTTCCCTTACTCCTTGTGAGGAGCAGAAGGACCAGCACTGACAGGGTGCCCTTTCAGTTTGATCTAGCGGGTATATGCTATACCAGCTAAATGGAACCCCAGAAGATCGACTGCAGCAGTATTGATCTTCCATGTAGTGTAGATATGCCCTTGCTTAACTAATTTTGAGGATGTGTCAGTGCTTTAATGTCTTAAAACTCACATCACTGGGATCCAAGTAGCCTGTAAGTCTTAGTAAGCTACACAAAGCTATGGAAACCTGCTACCTGTAGTTATATGCATACCTTTACTCGGTATTGCTTCGCTATTGATCTGGCAGCGAGATCTGATATCCAGATCAGCAGAGCAGGCCACAGTCTTTATGTAACTAGCTCTCAAAGCCATGTCCTTCTGACATTATTATAAGGTGAAGAAAAGATTATTTATTCATAGATTTTGAGTAAATTGTCAGCAAGAGTCCCCATTTCTCTGCCAACTTCCTCCATGATTTTTAGTAATGTGAAACATCCTGGGGGACTGGGACTATACTCCTTATATAACGTCAGGTTTGAATGTCTAGTTCTGCGAAGGTGCATGCATGTGAGTACAGGCCAGTGCTTTAAAGAGAATTCAAACTCAATGTTAGGAATGCTTGTGCTCCCAAGAGTGGGCATTTTGCTTCCAGCTATTTTGCTTCACAATGAACAATAGTAAGTAAATAACTTTTCTTTGTTATGTTAATCAGAAGTGCTGTTTTTGGACTTGCTTTTGCCATCACAATTCTCATATGAGAGGTGGGGTAAAAATATTTTAAATAAATAAATATGAACCTCTCTTACGAAATAACAAGATTTCCTCCCTCTCTGTATGCTTATATGATCGACCTCTCTTTGCTGACTTCAGTATGGTTGATTTTATAAAACCAGGTTTGGGATTATGTGGTTAAGTTAAACAGCTTTGAGATTTAATTTTCCATTGAGTTGTCACTGTGTAGACAGCAAAAATACCAAGTGTATTGAAATCTTTTTGATAATTCAGAGCACTTCGCTCAACTGACAATCACTGTCACTGTGGACAATTTGCCCATGAGCCACTGGCTTGTTTTGGTCAGGGGAAGGTTTTTAGAAAAAGACACCTTCTTTTTAGAATTGATTATCCCATAAGGCATCAGTGGCCTCACAATATTCCATTCAGCTTCCCAAAAGCATGAGAAAATTTACATTTCAGCCCAGAATTTACCATACCTGGTCCTTTACCTTGTGACTGTGGTTTTCTCCCTCCCATCCACACTTTATTCTTCTTGTGAAACCTTAAATAAAACCAAACCCAAAGCACCAACATTTTTTATTGCTGTATTACTCAGACTCGGATTTTCTGTATTTAAGAGTCTGTAGCTGCAGGGCCTCCATTAATGCAGTAATAACATTGTCATTGAGGAACAAAAGAAGAGACATTAACTTCTGCTTCTTGATTGCAGCACTATAATACTTTCAGTCCTTTTCAGCAAAATGTTTTCACTTCTGGCAGTGCCTATGTACCCTATAAAGGCTGAAATAAGCAAATACATACCTTACTTGTTTGTTTTTTTTCAGTTTGTCAGCATTGAGAGTGTCTGCAAGTGAAACCATGAGATTGACTGGAAATATGAAAACCTGCTGTGTTATGTTTAAGTTAGAACTAAGCAGAAAGTCCACAAATGAATGATTTTCCATTGAGCCTTCTTCCCTGTAAAAGTCATATGCTTCTGTTTTAGCCACAATAAAGTGCACTATGACATCCAGCCACCAGCCCGCCTCTTGCCTCTAACAGAAGCCCTCTTCCTAAATACACATTCTTAATTTATCATTAGCTCTTGCCATTTGGGCAACTGCTTTGCTCAGGCTGAGCTCGCTAATGCCAGATTGTGCTTTTTCCTATACAGACCCCATTCACCAAATCAAAATCATTCTCTTTTTTGCAACAGTGGCAGAAGGAGCTGCAGATCAGACTTAAGGAAGAGGAGTGGCTCCTGGAGATAGAACTTCAGGAAAAACAAAGGAAGGAGGAAGAGCACTTCAGAGAAATTATGAAAAGGCGAGAAGAAAAGGTGCACAAGAAAACCAAACCTTATGAGCTTCCTGCTAAACACCAAGATGAAGATTTGATAAAGTGAATTAACAAGATCGAGCTGTCAGTATTTCATCAATCAACACTAATGTGGGACTGACTTTCTAATCTAAATGCTTGAAATTAAAATGTTTTAAAAATTGGAAAAAATAACTGTTCCCCAGTGACTAGTAAAATGACCCAATATGCCAGGCCTGCAGCTCTGACACGTGAGGAGTCCGTTCGCCTAAGGATTTCAGCACAGACACGGGAAATAAGAGTGGTCTGCAGCACCCACAGGTTTTGCACTCAGATTCTTTGTGTTTGGGGGTCAACCCCAGTGTTGACCCCCTGCTGGCTTTCATAGCCCCGGGTCTTGGCCTCTGGGCAGTCCCTGCAGGGTCCTGCTGGGCTTCGAGGGTCCCCCAGCCCCACTCGCTTCACTGCCACTCAGCAGCCTCATAGGCTTTGCTGGCCCTCAGGGTCCCATTGCCCACCAGCCCCACCCCATTGTCTTCCACTGCCAACCTAGGGCTCTGCACCTGGCCTCAGCCCAGGGTCAGCAGTTCTCCCAGCTGTGGCTCCAGCTTGGGGGTGCTGAGGGGCCAGAGTTGCCAACTCTCCCAGACCGTAAGGACTGGACTCCACTGCTGCAAATGGTATGCAGTTGGTCTGGTCCTTGACAGTTGGCAGCCGTCAGAGGGGCACGAAACTATTGTAGGGGAGGGAAGAACTCAGCATCCACAGACTAAAAATTGTTCCAGCACCCCTAGATTTCAGCGGTCTGGGGACAGTCCTTGGCTGTTCCTAAGCTGTTGAACAACCTCTATGCCAATCTCTCAAAGTCCTCAGGGAACTCCTGGGGGGTGGGGGTGAGTTCCTGGTGTACGTGGCAGCTCAAAGCACAACAGCATCCATCATTCCCAACTGCTGGAATAGCCCTTTTAGGTCATGGGCAGCCAGGTTGAATTTGGAGTAGTCTTCAGGTTGCCTTTTGTTACATAGAGGACTTGCATGGGTCTAGTATTAGGGAGCCTCTGCCCCAAATGTGCCCTGAGCCAATCTTTGCTACAGGATCCATTTCAACAAATGGGTTCAGGGAAAACTTTTTGTATAGCTTTGACTTCCTGAAGTTCATTTGGAGTTTCTACTTCCAAAAATAAAATCAAAGCTTCCAAATTTTACCTTATTTCTGGCCAAAATCATGTGAAATCAGAGAGATTTCTCATGGTCTCCCTCTGAACCATCAGTTTGCCAAACAGCATCTCACATTTGCCACAGGAAACCTAGCAAACCTGGCCATAGCAAACTTGCCATAGTTTGGATTTTGAACAAAACCAAGCAAGTTTTCCTGTATTCAGCTTTCTTTAAGAAAGCTTCAGTTATTGCCTAAATTCAAGAACTTTCATGCATCATCACTTTTTGCTGCCCTCATTTGAGATGAGATATATTTGAAAAGTGGTCATTATACCTACAGCAACTAAGAGTCTCAAGTGAGTGCAATTTTTCCAGTTATATTTTTTCCAGTAGTATAATTAGCATTTTTTCCTATTAATTCTTGACTTACGATCACACAGCATATTTTATCATTTGTAAACAGAAGTAGTTGGTATTAATTCTAAATAATTGATAAGCAGCATTTATGAATCATCTCTAAAAAAAATGAGCATTAACTGAGTTTTGGCTGTGAGAGAAAATCTTAGAATAAAACCTTTTATAAACCTTCTATAAACTTGTCAGAATATGGAAGCAACAAAATTAAACAAATGCTTCTTGAAAGTTTCTTTAAAAAAAGAAACCCTTAAGAAATCAGTAAGAAGGGGCTAGACTCATATGACCTTGATATACAGCAGATCCCCCACTCTTGGCAGTGGGCCTCTTGAGAATGTGGTTATGTGATTCGAATGCAGAGTTGAACTATTTGCATGTGTCAATTAGGCATGCGATCACACACTTAAGTTATTTGAGGGTTATTTCTGAAGACCTGTGAAAGGCTCATTTCAAGACTGCAGACAAACCCTATAGAGCTCATCTGCCCAAAAAGGCCCAGTGCCTCTGAATTGTTCCCCAAGCTCACCCCATTTCCCTTTTCCCACAGCAATGGGTCTGAAAGAAGCCATTGGACCCCACATGCCTAACAGCTGATCTGAACCACCTCCCAAAACACAGGCGAATTCCTCTGCGCCCTGGAAGTTAAATGTTCATTGGTTCATCACTGTATCCCATGAGACCTCCCTCTGTGAGGTTAAGGATGAAATGCCATGGAGGATGATCACTGCATTGATCCTGCCCTCTCACCACCAGGACCCCCATTCCACAGTGACCGCAGGCTGAGCCTACACCATAGAAGCAGAGGTGCTTCTGCAGGATTGGTGGAATTTGTCACAAAGCTCATGCTTCCCCCACGTACCCTAGTCAGTATCCATCAGCTTTGGCTCTCCTCCAAAGTCAGGAAAGAGGCAGCAAGAAGAGGCATATGGCCCAAATTCTAGAACAAGTGTGTTTACAACACAGAGTAAAATGGCCATACATTTCAGGGGGGTTGACTTCTCATTTACATTGACATCAGTGGAGAACCCAGATAACAAATGGGTTAGATCCCATCAGGGGGGCGGGATCATGTGATCTCCCTCCCATATTTAATGCTTGGCTTGTACTAACCATGTTCTTATGGACTGAGCTTGCTTACTGATACTGCTGATGCTGGCTGCCCTCACCCTTCCCTCCTGGTCTCCACTCCCACCACCAGCAGGCACAGATTGTCTCTGGGAACTGTCAAAGGAGCCAGTATAGTTTCCCTTGTTTTGATGTCAAATGAAATAAAATCACAACACAAAAAACATATTAAAAATTAGCCATTCATGAGCATGTCTCCCTCTACTAAAACCAGTAGCAGCTACACTCACAAACCATTAAATTTTTTTTATCTGAAACATTTTATCACATCAGCTCTTTGGGAGAAAAGTAAGAGAAGGGGAAACTTTTCTTTTTCTGCCAGTGAGCATAAACACCCCAACTAATGGAAAAAATGTTTTTGGTGGATTTAGCCCACATTCAGCCTATAAGCCATTGGTTGGCTGCCGGAGATTTAAAGTATTTGGAGTACTCATTATACTATTCTAACAATCTTCCCTGACATACCATGTGCATTTGGAACCTTATTTATAAACAAAGCTAAATTTGAACTGTCAAATTCTCTAACATAAATTCAGTTATTTACATAGTTTAGCAAATTCCATTGATGATTTCTGTTACTTTTGAGCAAATAGGCATTTTTCTTAGTAACATACTGAGCTGAAGATTAATTTAACTTTAATGTTATTCACATGCACTTACTTAGCCCTAGCTGAGGACTAATTTCCATAATACCTGCTGCCGTACCATTACCTTATTCCCTCTTCATATTTCAGAGAAAACAGAAAACTCAATCAGTTAAAAAAAAGTGAAAATTGTTCTCAGAGGAAGGACTCCTGTGACGACTAGCTTGTGGCTGCAAAGCCATAGCCCTGTTATAAGGGGCTGCGGATGCACTCAGTCCTCAAAGGAGTGACCAGGGATATTGGGCCTGATTCTTATTTATACTAAAGTCATTGTACACCATCCTGATAGTGAAAGAAGCCTTCGAGTGTAAGGTCTTGGCTTCACGTGCAGCAGAGCTGCATTGCTGTAACACTTTAGCAAAGACACTATCACACTGATGGGAGCACTTTTCCAGTTGGTGTAGTTAAACCACCTCCCAGAGAGGCCAGGATATCGCTGAGAGAAGTGCCTTACACTTGGAGCAGTGCCTTAATACAGCACTGGCTATACAGGGGGTTAGGTTGGTATAACTACCTGGCTTGATGGGTGAGGATTATTCACACCCCTGGATGATGTAGTTATACCAATATACGTTTCTGGTGTGGACATAATGGATGTGTTACTTGCACCCACACGGAGGGCTGTTTACGCTGCCAGAGTGATTTTAGTGGCCCTGGTGTAACTGAGAAACAGTCCTATTGTGACCGAGCAAGCACAAGGCCTCTGAGAACATCAACAGATCATAGATCAGAGCAGTCTGATAAACCATTTTTAAGGGTGAAGCATGCTCTCCCTCAGCCCCATGTTAGGCCAATTATTCTCACCAGAGTGGAGGTGATATGGGGCCATGCACCCTCTTTGTCCTTCCCTGCCTGCTCTGGGAGATCAGAACCACAGTATTATTAGTAGTTGTATTATCGTCGTGACTAGAGACCAGGACCCTATTGAAGAAAGTATGGAGAAGTTAATGTGCTGTTCCTTTTTGTTCTCTAAGTGTATGTCTACACTGCACAGCTATTTTGGGATACCGCAGGTCTACCCTGCGTCTACACAAGCCACCCATTATTTCAAAATATTTTTCAAAAAAACAGGTGTGCTATTTCGGCATCCTAGTAACGCTCATTTCACGAGGGCTAAGGGATGTCTCGAAATAGATGTGTTTGATGTGTAGATGCGCCACATTTCAAAATAAGCTATTTTGAAATAAGATACGCAAATTGCGTATCTTATTTTGAGTTTAGAATGCTGTGTAGATGCTTCCTAATGAGAAATTATGTCACTTGACAAGTAAATCTGCCTGGATCATGCATCTCATCTCAGGGTATTGGTTGAGTACAACATATTATTCGGCCCTCTAGTATTTTGCTATGTAGGATTTCTACTGAAGTCCTTTTTGCTATTGAGCAACTGGTAGCATATCAGCCTCAGCAGTGACAGCTCCTTCTTTTGAATATTGAGTTTTAAACTGTGTTTTCCATTTCATGAACTGGAGGAGACAACTGCTGCAACCTCTGTAAATGCCATTACCAAGGCATGAGGCTTCTGGATGAACTAAGGGCCCTATTAGACATGCTTTATTCAGTCCATGTCTCCCAAATCCAGAAAGCATTACACGATTTTTATACAGACTTTATTCAGAAAAAAACTCCCATTGGAGTCAATTAGTCTTGACTGAATAAAGGACTTCAGGATTAGGCCAGTTAATTAAAATGGAAGCTTTGTTTCTGTAAGGAGTAATGAACACAGCCCCTATAAAATAGGGGGTGAGTTGTATAACCAGCATACTGAGCGATACAGTTGAATATATTTCATTAAACTTCAGAATTGCTTTTATTTTCTGTCTTGCTGATAACCCATTCCAACATGCTTTGAGCAGTATGCAAGACTATATTTCCGAGACACTCTCTAAAAGCAAGCTAAATAGTTGAGACTAGTGGGTGCACTATCAGCTGCTTAACAGATGACTGGCAAGCTATGCTGGCATGGTTACAGAGGCGCTAGTGGATATGACTTCTCAGCCTTACTCAGTCCCTAAAAACACCTATAGCAGTGACAGATGTCGAGAGCCTGAGGCACAAAGGGCTATATTTTCAAGAATGCCAAGCACTGAATGCCATGCACCCAGCCTGGAAGTGGCGGCAGCCAGAGTCCCGAATCTTTTAAATCAATGCCAGAGCACCTTACACTTTGGGCAATGCTGAGGGCTGCCTAGCTCCAGTTCTGCCCCACGTTCTGCCCCTTCCAAAGGCACAGAGCAGCACTCCTCATCTTGCCCAGAGGGGCCCGGTGAGGCTGTGAGCCCTACTGCTGTGCACAGTCTTCCCCTACAAGCCCTAGATTGTAGCAGTCAGCTGTGTCTTCCGATGTAGTCATGGGAACTGTTGGGTTCCCAGCACTTTTGAAAAATCAGTCAACTTATTTCAGTGTGTAAGTATGGACTTAGGAGCCTAAATTTAGGTCCCCAGTTTTTGAAATCTGAGCTACACTATAGTTCCAGACTGCCTTCAGGAGGCAAGCAGTAATGTGTTCTATACATTTAACAACTGAAACAAAAGACAGATACAGTGATTGGTCTGTTACTTACTGTTACGCGCATGGTACCACTATGCTGATCCTGGGCCAAAGTCAGCCTGGATGTAACTCTACTTCAGTGGAATTACAGCAGGGATGAATTTTGTTCCTTTTGTGTATTATTGCTGCTATGAGCTTTTTGCAGAACAAAGGCCCTGTATTCTGTGGCATTTTTTTTCCCTCATCAAATTTCAGTTCATTCCTGTAGGATAGACATTAGCGGGAAAATGGAAGTGCATACCCCTATTATAAGCAGATCCACAAATGTAGCACTGGGATGAGCTGAGTGATGGAAAAAATCTGTTTGCTCTGGTAGTTTGTTTCACTCACCTGAAAATCGTTCATTATGTAAAAAGTAGCCTGGTTTGCCTTCTGTGCTAATTTGCACAGCGAAGAGTGAGGAGGGTGTTTGCTGCCACAGGTCAATGTGTTTATACTTCCACAGTCATGGAACTGGTCTGTGCTTAAGGGCAGGTCTACACTTAAAAGGCAGCAGACCAAGGTGCAGTCACGCTGCTGTAGTGCTTCAGTGAAAATGATGATTTGCCAAAGGGAGAGCTTCTCCCATTGGTGTCACTGATCCACTTCTGTAAGCAGTAGTAGCTATATCCATGGAAGAAGCCCTCCCATTGACATAGTGCTGTCTACACTGGGAGGGGGGTGGGCGAGGCATATTGACTGGGTGGGGTAGGGCAAGGCATGCCAGTGATAGGGTGTGATTGCGACAGAGCACAGTTATTTCAGTTATACTAGGGGATGCTTTAGCCCCTGACCAGTTCTGTGGTTCCATGCTACTCTCTTCAGCTATGCCAGGGGTGTAAGATTGGCATAACTGAGAAGCTGGAGCAATAAATATATATTTAGTTCTATTTATGTGTGTTTTATATTTGTATACACACACAAATACAATGTATATCTATATAGATATTTACCATTAAAAGCTTCATTTAGTAAACATCCCAATTTTCCATTGAAAAGTAGTTTCATTGGAAATGTTTCAGCCAGTCCTACTAGATACTTTTCATTCATGTTTTCTATTGCTGGCACCTAATTTGTGTCCCAAAGATGCTGGCAGGCACTTGCAATGCACGCAAACCCTGCATTTTCACACGCAAAATGAGAATGGGCACACAATTACCCACTTAGCAGGCAGAAATACAGATTTGCACATGCAAAAATTAACTTTTCCCCCTTCTTGATAGATGAAAGTTTGACCTAGTAATGTCCAAAGTATGCTTGAGTGCATATTGGGTGCATAATGGCTGTCTATAGAGCAGATCTGCCAGCAGTAACTCATTACTGTTTAAGCACTTTGAGATGTCTAGAGTATGAAAGGCTTAGTATAAAGCCAAATTCAATTCAGTTTAATTTTAATACAGCTGTATAATTCCCTAGGAGTTCCTATGATTATTCTCCCCTCCAGCACAAATACTTTCTCTTTAATAAAGTTTGCAGTAATGTTACCAAGTCACAGATTCTAAATGTACTATTATGATACAGTTTTAAACTTTCTTGAATAACTGATTGTCCCTGTATACCACCTGCAAAGTTGTCTTCATACATGCTGACATTTCATTGATATATAAACTTGTACAGATCAAATCACATATATGGGGCATTTCCAACTGACCTACAAAAACCCTATAGAAGATTTTCTATACCTGGAGGCATAGTTGGGGATTATTAGGATTTTTGAGACAGCAGAACAGAGCTAAAGAGGGAAATTCACACCAGAGAAAACACACCAGAGAAAATTTACACCTTGCTTAAACCTAGATCTATTTCCCTTTCACATTTGTAATAATTTCACGGATTACAATATATTTATTAATTATCAAAGGAATGTGTTATTTAAAGAACAGAGTCTTCTCCAGTGTTAGAATCATGCCACCTCTACATGCAGGTAGCTAAGAAGCAGCCTAGTACTTCCATGACATGAGGTCAAACTAAATGAAAGTCTACACCTTTCATGGTAGAAATGCTGTTAATCCAGCACCTTGCACACTCATTCATTAAAAAATGTTCAGTGATTTAAGAACTTTAAATGAAAAGAGCTAAATATTATTTAATTTCCATTGATTTCAATAGGATTTAGTCACCCAAATAAAGTCTGATGATTAGGGCCTAAGTGTTGCTCAACGTGGTTTAAAAGATTCTATGGATTGCTTGATGTTACAGATAAATACATTGTTTTATGATCTTATTTGTAATGCATGAATTAATAATCTGTGTTACCTGGAGTGGAAGACCAACAAAAATCTATTTCTGTATGAGTCTGGAAAAGATCTGGCCACACAATGATTTTAAGCATTACAGGTATATTTGAATGTTATTCATTGCTCTTAAGGAACCCCTGTGCAGGAGCCAGGTGTCCTTTACTTGAGAATCAGATGAGATTAAACAGAACTTCAAAACATGACATCTGTGTGAATTCAGCCATTAGTGCACTATCACCATGAAAAGAAAAGAATGTATATATCCAAACTTCATGGACACCTGCATAATCAAGTACATGTGAGTGTATCAGCATGCATTAGTAATAGTGTGCAAAATGTTATATGGGAAATTTGACTGAGGCCCTCTAAACATTTGGATGCAAATTCTTTTCTAGTGCATATTGACATAGCTAATTTAAGACAATGGACCCGCCTAATTTATCCCAGAAGAGAAACTGGCCCTTGATTGCAAAGGATATTTGCTCTAGTGACTTTCCTCCAATAACTGCACTGAAAACCTGAATCATGGAACAAACAAAGGTATTCTGATTTGTCAGAACTTCTTTGGATGGTTCGACTATTTGAGGGATGTGACTGATCACATAGATTCTAATGTAAAATCAATATTTACTTTGGAGTATTTCATCTCCCTCTTGCCCAATCCGATACTGAAAAGAACATTCCTTACAATAAATGGGATATGTGAGCAGGAAAGGATGGCACTCAAATAGCAGCATCAAAGGCAAATAAGTTCCATTTTACAAACACTTGCTGTCTAAGATGTTCTTAAGTACCAACGATTCTATTGGAGTAATTAATAGTTATGGGTTGAGATTGACTTAATTAACATTCTTTTTCCTTTTTATAACTAAAGCTTCTAGATTAACTTCACCAAATGTTTTAAGGACCTTGAGTGATATCATTAAAGTCTAACGATTTAATTTCTGCTTGTTTTCTCTTCTATAATTTAGTGAACAATAAAATTCTAACTTGATTAGAAAACCTAAAGCAAAATTGTGCTTATTTTATTTTGGGACAAGATGCAAGATTGTTTGTTTAATGCATACTTCTTTGTCAAAGAACAATGCCTCCGTCATCCTCCACGAGGCAGAGAAAGCTGATAACAAGTAATTGCCTAGTAACTAGTCACAGGTGAGGAAATAAAGAAGTCCATTCATTCAAGACACCATTAGAACCTCTGAGGTGTAAAAAGTCACCAAGCAGCAACCTGGCCTGAAATTAACTGGTGCTGTTACAGTACATACTGAGATTCAAAACATTGCATTTTTAATCCTGTTTAAACTTCTGCCCCTGTGCTGCAGACCAATTAAGAGCAGACCAATCTTTAATACCTCTAGTACAAGCTACGACTCAGAGAGGTG